GAGTACTTTAGGATGTGCTTGAAGGTGTAGCACTTCCTCTTCTACATATGCAGGCAAACCTCTTCATAGGCTCCTTTCACTTGCCCTAAAAGACAGGGGAGAACTAGTTTGGTGTGGTGGTTAAGGCACCAGGCTAGAAACTAGGAGATTGTGATCTCTAGTCCTGCCTTAGGCACAAAGTCAGCTGGGTGACCTTGGGCTGTCACTCTCTCTCAGCCCTAGGAAGGAGGCAATGGCAAACCACTTCTGAAATCTTGCCAAGAAAGCAGGAACTAGTCCAGGCAGTTGCCGGCAGTCAACCCCTTTTTGAAAAAGTCCTGCTTTTTCTAAGATCGTTTGTACTTCTGCACATCCTAACTCTGATGATGGTTGTCTGTGTGGAGGGTGTCATTTTGGCTATATAAGCTATGCCACTCATGACTGAACATTAGAAACAGACAGAATGAGTCCTTATGTCTGTTTACAAGTATAGAAAAAGGAGTGTTGGCAGGGTCTTCTAGACTTGGCATTTTATGCTTGTGAAAACAAGGAGTCTTTAACATAGAAATACGGGATTCATGGTGCAAAAGGGGATGGATGGCCTTTTAATGTTGTAAAGAACAGTGCCAGTAAAAAGAATGTTTTCCAATCTCTTCACACACTCCTTTGCCCCTGCACAAGAATAATTCCCAAGTAAAGATGGTGGGGGTGGGGGGGCAGAGGGGAATCAGTTTGCATTTGGTCTGACTTTCTAGTGCTCTGCCTTTCTCCTGTTGCTGTGTTGTATTTGTTCAAAGAGTGTGCTGGTCTGGGCGTTTTTTTAATTTGGCATGCTAATATTTTGTTTTGATTTGATTGTTGTTATGCTATAAATCCCCTTGAAGACATTAAGGTCTATAGACATAAATACACCATTGATTTGGAAGCGACTGTGATGTTCGTCTGGCTTAACTCCTAGCCAATGCAGGAACTGAATGCAGGATGCAGCTTCAGCATCTCAGCTGAATGCTGTCCATCCGATGTTCAAATGTCTCAAGAAATGCACATCATCTTCTCAGGCAGACTGCTTCTATCTCAAACAATGTCTGCTATTAGGAAGGAGCTAAACATTTAACCAATTCTGGTTTCAATCAATGATCACCTGTTTGTTTGGTGCAATGGAGAACAACTCTATCCCAATTCCAAACAACAGTTCTTCAGATCTTTGGAGACTGAAATGATTTCTTCTCTTGAAGTCTTCTTTCCCAAACTAAACCTTTCCAGCTCATCTAATTATTCATTTATTCATTCATTCTTTCAATTTAGGCATTGCCAGATTCCCAAATGACTCTGGGCAGTTCACAATATAGCAAAACAGAAGAAAAATCAAATAACACAATAGAAAATGAATAAACAAGTTGGAAATCCAACCACTCAACCAAAAAAAAAAAAAATCTACAAAACAAATCCTACAAGAGGCTCCATCCATTCTAACCCAGGGTCTGGGAGAACAGCCAGGTCTTTAAGGTCTTCTGGAATACCATGAGGATAGATGTCACATGGATCTCAGGGATGACCTCAATGACTTAATTTCTGGACATCTTACTCATAAAAACACACACACACTCACTGTCATAATGTGGTTTGTTTGGTTTTAGCTTGGTATATCATGGCTTAGTATTATGTGGGAACCTGTTATGGTTGTCAACAAACCATGATTAAAATCATAGTTTAGCCTGACGTATAAAACCAGTCAATAGGTTGCATTCTGATAAGTATGCTATTAATAGACCACTGCAAACAATGGGACAAGTCTGTTACAACTAATTTTCCATTGATTTCAATGGATCTTCTCTAAACAAGGTTAAGTCTGGATCCAACCGTCATTTCAGTAGAATGCATGAGTGTTTATTTATTTATATACTGGCAGCAGCTCTCCAGTGTTTGGAATTAAGAGTGCTTCTCAGACATAAATAAAGAGGTTAAGGATTGAATGTGGGGCCCTATATAGTTAACGTATACCAAGCATTCACATGCAAGAACATGGTTCACAGAGGCCAATCTAGAACGTATGTGGGTGATAGCTTGAGTTTCCTTGTTTATGGAGTACCTTTGCCTAAGTCAAATTGCAGATACAATATGAAATGGGTCCGCATAAAATATTTATTAATATTTAAGAGTTTGGAGTTAGTTAAAGAGGATTAAGCTGTGAAGCCCGCACATGAGAATTCAGATAACCTATTTGAAGAGTAATCTTAACAGTCTTGGCAGCAACTGTGAGGCAAGGAGAGGATTTTCACACTATTTTGTGGTTTGATAGCTTTTAAAGCAAGCACCCATTTTTTAAGACATGTATTTGACAGATTTCAATCAGGTGCATTCCAAGAACCCTACAGAGAAATATTCAGTTACCAGATACCTGAACAATTTAATTCAGACCTCTGTCTTACATAGAGAAAAAGTACTGCTTTTAAATATGGCAAAACACAAAAACTTGATTTCCCTGAACTTGAGCCTGAAGTGATTCCATCCATTCTTCCATCTCATGTTGATACCTGAGTGAACTTTCCACCTCATCTTGTATCATCTCTCATTTGTCTCTGTTGGTCCTTCCTTCCTGAGCATTAGAAACCACCTTTCAGATTCAGCCCTAAATCATCAGGAACCCAGGTAGTATGGATGTTGTTACCTTATAACATATTTTATAATATATTATATTTTAATCGGTGAGAATTCTAAACATTTAGCTACTGCTCATGAAAAAAAACTGGCAAGAGTTTCTGATAAAACACTGGGGGGTGGGGGGGGGGCTTGATGGCCATTATGGATTAGTGACAGAAGTCATTTGGAGAAGACCACTCTGATCAATGCTGCTTTACTCTTCAGATGAACACAGCCAGGAGATCAAATAAATTCACACTAAGCTTGGGCAGTTATTAATAGAAACATAATCCTCTTGGGGAAATGTGGGCGCATACAGGTGGGGCTGAGGGAGAACCAAATCTTTATTTCTGCAAATAGAACTACAGTTCCAATCCTCAGGTTACCCAGAGACTTATGATCCTTTGATAGCTGCTTGGGTGTTGCCAAAGCCCCAGCCTGCTGGAAGAGGGGAGAAGGAAGTAAATGACAGAGGGGCCCAATGTCTTTCCTAAATGAAGAGTGTAATGGTGAGCAGAAATGGGTCTGAATGTTATAATGCAGAGTCTGGAAGAATATAAAGAGAAATTATGGAACTACAGTATGTCTTCATTCAAGTAGGGCCTTTACAAAGTAAGAGAAGTCACCCTTGAGTCAAACTCATCTTCTAGTGCTTGACATGACCACAGGAGTTTGCGAAAATGGATGCTGTTACCATCTGTTTTCGCAAACTCAAAAATGGATGGTAACAGCTCTAGGGGCCTCATGGTTGGCTGAGGAATTCTGGGAGTTGAAGTCCACTCATCTTAAAGTGGCCAAGTTTGGACAACA